TTCATAAAGTTTTCATCTTTATTATTATAACAGTAACATCTTCATCAGTGGCAGCATCAACAGTATCATCACCATCATCATTATAAATATGACTACCATCTCCATTATTATAATCAACATTATCACCAACTAAACCTCATCATCATCATCATCATTATTATTATCATCATCATTATTATCACTATCACCATCATCATCATCAGCAGCAGCATCATTACCATCAACGTCTTCACACTTTTCCTGCCATAATTTTCTTTCATCTTTAGTGGATGGAGTACGTATGTTTTCTTACATCAGCAGTTGTTTATAGCTTCTTTACGTTCATCCAGATGATGTTAATGATCATGATGGACGTGATGACGACGGGGATGATAGTGATGTTAATGATGATTATGGTGATGGTGATGTTAATGATGAAGTTGATGATGACGTCACCAATGAAGATGATAATCACGTGATGACGTCATGATGGCGCTAACGTTAAGATGGTGAAAACGATGACGGAGACGACGACGATGATGATGTCGTTGGTGATAATTAACGTGATGACGATGTTTATCAGGATACTGACGATAACGATGATATTGTGAACCTAGTTATTGAAGATCATAATGATAATGATGAAAATGATGACGACGACGACGATGATGATGATGATGTCATCGATAAAGATGACGACGACGATGACGACGATGATAACCGAACGATAATGAGTCATGTATATGCATGAGATTCGTCAGTGGCACTCACTTTATTGCTATCTTTGTTTGTTTTTATTTCGTTTGTTTTTGTTTCATTTATGTATCTATGGCTGACGTAACGACAATTTTTGAATCTCTGCCCAATGCTGCTAATTCACATTTATGTGGCTATGCTTTCTATGGTAAGTGCTTGCTCGCCTCTTGTGCTGGCCTGCTAGCGGTATTACGGCGACGTTTGATGGTGGTGTATTTTTTTGTTTTGGTATGTTTTTTTTTCTTTTTCCGGTTGTTTTGTGTCACTACTGACGGTTTTTTTGTTTTTTTTTTGGTGGTAGGATTTCACTGATAGGATTTTTAGCATCTGGTTGGGTTTTTGTTAATTTTACCGGGTGCGTCGGGCGGATTGAGTTTTGTTCCTTTTTTGTTTTTCTATTTCTTCATTTTTTTAAATTGAATTTGTTGATTGAAAAATAGTTATTAAAATGCAATTAACTTTTTTAAACACTTGTAATTAATCTTTGTGAGAAAATTAAATAAATTTACATTTGCCTAACCAGACATATTTAAACTGTTTTAATAAACATTTGTTTGCCTTGTGATTACATAGTTTTTATTTACAATAATTTTTTCTGATTTTTTAATTCATTCATTTATTCATTTATTTATTCATTTATTCATCTCCATCTATTCATTCATTCATTTATTCATTCATTCATTCATTCTCAGACACGAAATGAAATTTGCGACTACCGTTTAGGATATTATACAGCAATTAGTACCAAAGAATAGAAATGAGATAAACTGAAATGAGATATTCAAACGATGTTGGTGATAATAAACAAATGCAAGTAAGTAAAAACTTCTTTTGATATGACACATTATTACCACAATGATAATAATGACGATGATTTGATGATGCTTGAAGTGATTGTGACGATTGTGATGATGACCATTCTAACGATGATGATGATAATGTGATGATGCCAACGATGATAACAATGATATGATATGATGACAATGATAATAATGATGATATGATGTGATATTATGTTAGCCGATGATGATGATTGCAAAGATGCTGATGAGGAAGAGGATTGCAATGATGGTGATTGCAAAGATGATGGTGATGGCGATTGCAAAAATGATGAAAATGATGATGATGATGACACTGATAATAATGATGATAATTACAAAAATGATGAATGATGAGATGACGACGACGATGATGATAAACATTTTTTAATGATCTCCACAAAAATATCTTGCCCAAAACGTGAGGCAATATTATTTGGACTTACACAAATATTTCCTACGCAATGCAAGCAGATGTTTCTTCCGACTAAAAAATTTCCCATATATGAGACAAAGAAATTTAATAACAAAATTAATATGAAAAGAATTTTATAAAAATTTAATAACGTTATTTCTTGAAGGAAAACCACGTATCAGTCGTTTTCACTAAATGAAAAACAACCGAAACAAGAACAAAAACTACCAACACTAAAAAACAAACACTGCAGCAACAAGCTCACAAAATTTAATCCTCCCTACCAAAGACTAAATTAAAATTTAGCTGAAAAATAAAAAAAATAATAGAAAAATCCACAAAACAATGAAGAAAATATTAAAAACAAAACGAAAAAACGACATCCAGTATAATAAAATATGAACAAAGCAAACATGAAAAACTCACTAGAAACTGAACAAAACAAAAAAAAGCAGTTGAACGAGTTTTAAGCTCCTTAACAATTGACTGGAAAGCGCTTATAACTGCATTTAGCCATCCTCCAAGCTTTTCTAGCACTTAGAAACCCTTTCCATCTTAAGTGCTACTTGGCAGAACAGCGCCGCTGAAATTGCGACGACGACGACTGCACTTCACGTGGTCTGTAGAGCGAGATGTCGTTTGATGCGCTGATAAGAGTGTCAATACAGATTGCTTATTCATTGCTTCTTCATTTCCTTATGTATTTTATCTGCTATTTAAATTCGTCAAATGTTTTTTTTTCTATGGAGTTAATTTTTTTATTTTTCTTCATTTTACAAATTCAGTAAATTATTGCTGCTGTTATAGTGTCATCTTTCTAAAATTATTTCGCATTTTAGTGGAGCCAACTAGCCAACCGTCCTGAAAACATTGGCGCACGCACGCACGTACGTCAGCACACACACACATTTGTACGTGTGACAATTTGAAAGGAATGAACGCAAATAAAAGAAAAGAACGACTAGAGTTCGATAATCTCATCTTTTCGTTCATTAACTTCGCCTAACTACTACATACCGATGAAAAAAAAACTAATACATTTACAAATCAATGTAACAAGTATAAATGCATACAAATATAAAAACAGATAGAGGCACTTATAATTATATTTTCACAAATACACACACACACACACACACACACACACACGCACACACACACACATAGTTCAACACATAATCATATATGCAGACGTTTAATTACAAATGATCTGATCATATTCATGCATAAAAGATGAAACAACCACAACAACCACAGCAGCAGCAGCGAAACTACGGCAGCGACGATAGCGACGACAATGACGGCAAAGACATCTACATCTGCAACTACAAGAACGACGCAAAATCGAAAGGGACATACAATTACATTGTTGCCATCATAGAAATTCTGCGAGAAACCAGTCACATTGCTTATAAGAGGCCACGTGATATATCTACGTATTTGCTCCCGTGTGTGCGTGTTTGCGTGCGTGTTTGCGTGCGTGTTTGTGTGCGTGCGTGCGTGTGCGCGCATATGAGAATGTATTTATGGATGCCTTTTTGCATGCAGCTAGATATTTTAAGGCTTCATTTAAGTGGTAGAGAAATAGTAAGAGAGATTCTCTAAGACGATCGCACACATATACGCGTACACATACATACAAATGTACACGCAGTTTTGTCATTCAGCTTTTATGTTTATGTCCGCAAACATACAAACATAACCTTTATGAAAACTTGTATATATATCTACTTCTTGTTTTGGAAGTCAAATAAAAAATACTGTACTGTATTGTAAGAATGCAGATAATAAGTGTAAGTATATACTGCAAACACACATATTATCATACACATACACTTACAGTACATGCACTGATGCATACATACAAACATACATACAAACATACATACACAGACAGACGTACATACGCACATACATGCGTTAGTGCCCATGCAATCTGCGTTCGTTTTATATAGGCAGGCTCCGATAGAGGTTCACTTATTCAAGTTGGGATATTAGCGTTCCATCAAATTTCTCATAAACAAATTCTGGCATAAATACGTACGATCCGTACATATAAATGCGTATGTATAGTATGTATGTGCGTACAGATATAATATATGCCTATATACGCACCTCTCGTATAACGCTATCTGTTTATCAATGCGCCCGCACGTTCAAATGCTTATGAACATACATCAATGTGTTCGCCCAAATTTCAAACGCAGACGTACGAACGCATACTAATGTATACATACGTGCACACACGCACACACACACGCGTACAAATCAAATAAACACAAATACGTCCGCACTTACACACCTACACATTCTCAATATTACGTCGGAAGAGAGCTGCCTTCCAGCACAAATTTTTACTGAATTTTACTCAACTGTTTATTTTTTCATTAGTTAACAAAACAGTACATACTGGCAATACATATCGAGAGGAAAGAAGTAAACGAAAACAAAAACTGCAGAAACTAAAACCATTTGCATCCTCATCTTATTATCTGTCACCCGGACTCAGTTATTGGATAGAAGGAAGATGTTGAGACAAGGAAAGGGATGTAGATAGCATTTAGGTCACCATTCTATCCTTGGGCAGTCACTAAAAATATTCTCGCGTGAAAATGACGAACGAAATGAAAACGAAACTGAAACTATATTTTATAATTGCCGATTTGTTTGAGGTTGAGATTGGTTCCGTCAGTAGCTAGCTGTATTTTTTCTCGAGTCATCAAGGAAATATTACAACCAGCAGGCATTATTGTAGATAAGAAATGATTTAGGAGAGTGAATGGACGATCTTTGCCAGTTGGTTACTTACTAATACTTCCAAGTTCGACCCTCTTTACGTTTGATAAAATCTTACCAAAAATTTCTAATAGAAACATTCGATATGCGAACATGTTCGGACATTAATAACCAATTACTAAACTACTAAATTACTAACGATTAATTACTACGTTGCTAAATACTAAATTATTAACTATATAAACCGTTATGTATATAAACTGCTAATTACTAACTTACAAATCAATAGAGTGCAATCAAGAGGGAAAATTTTTATTAACATACGCAAACAAACAACGTACGAAGCAACAACATTAGCAGCAAGTAAGCAACAAGTTTACAACATTTTCAAAGTAAAATAACAATCGTATGTAGGTAAATAACTAAACGGCATTATTCGTAACGATAATAATTATAGCAACAACTGCAGGAACAGAAATAATAAAAAAACAATAACAATAATAGCAATACAATATCTATAATTATTATTATTGTTATTATTATTAATGGATAAATCTAAGAAGCTTTTTCATTGGTTTACAAACAGACGAGCAAAAACGATACAGATGTTAGTGTTTAATAGAATGAAATTAATCGCTTCAAAAAATAACTCATCGCTATCATTTTGATTAGAATCATCACCAAGATCACCATTTGATCATCATCATCATCCTTATCATCACAATCGGCATCATCATCATCTTCCTCTATAATAACAATCATCGTTGTCATCTTCATCATCATCCTTATTACAATCAGCATCCTCATCATCATCTTTATCCTCACAATCATCACCAGCATCATCATCGTCGTCGTCGTCATCGTCGTCCTCATCATGCCTTGGCCAGTGCAACGACAGTGAAGTTGATGTCAGATGGATTCCTCTCCATGAATTTCTTCACCACTTTAATGGAGTCCTGCCAATAATAATAATAATAACAATAATACTAAAAATGAAAATAATAATAATAATAATGAAGATAATAAAAGCAATAATGACAATATGAATAACAACAATGAGAGTACAAACCAAGCAGCGATTAAACAGCGCAAATGGTCATAACACGTATGTACAATCACTTTTAATAAAGTATTAAAAAGCGTTTTTACTACTGCAACTACTACCTACTACATGCACTACTACTACCGCTAATAATAATAATAATAAAATAATAACAATATAAATTAATATTATTATTGTTATTATGATGTCACCCACCTCGAGTAAAGTCTCTTCGGAGGAGGGCCCGTGATCGATAGGTGCACCCTTACGACCGTCTGCATTGAAAAAATAATTATTTCTATTTAATTATATTATTTATAATAAGAAAAGCAATATAAATAATAATAATAATACCATTATTATTATTAATATTTTAATGCCGTTAAAACACTAATCAATAACATCAACCACATATTGTAGCAGCTTAAAACAAACAAACAGACAGACAGACAAACAGAGAGATAGACAGACAGACAGAAAAATAAACAGACAGACAGACAAACAAAAAGAGCAGTCACCCAGCTCTAAAATCTTTCCATTGTGGTGGATGAATGCCACGAAGTGCAGGTCAATTTTCTCATCCCTAGAAGGAACCTAGATGGAAAATGATATGAAATGATGGAAAATGATTTGGAGGAAAGAAAAAAATGAATGAATTTCAAACTCACCCATTCATCAACTCACTCCATCATTTGTTCTTATACTTATTAGTTCATGCATTCATTCTTTCTTTCATTTATTTACTGACCTTTGATGGACCCTCACATTCGTGTACATACTCATTAATGCATAACTCACTCATTCCTTCATTAATGCATCCCTCACTTATTCATACATTCATTCATGCATTCATTTATTTACTGACCTTTGATTGACCTTCACAGGCCACTTCCTCATGGGCCTCTCCAAAAGCCTTGAAAGTGAAAATTCAATGCTTTTATAAATTTATGAAATATTAACACACACACATACACACACACACGACACACACACACACATACATATATATAAAATAAAATATATATATATGTTTGAAGGAGGACCACATTTTCATACAATACTGTATATATCTATATATATATATATATATATATATATATATATATATATATATTTAGCCACAACATATATATATATATATATATATATATATATATATATATATATATATATGCATATATAATTGATCAACAAAGTAATAATAAATTTATAATAAAAAACGCCAAATACAGGATCATTCTCTAATTTCTCTCCTCTCTCTTCTGGGGTTAGTCCTTTGGTGTCGTTGAAGAATTTGTTCAAGTGCTTGTCAGCTGAAGTCAGGAGGATTTAAAAAAATAATGAAAATTTGCAGAATAAACTTAAATAAGCATAATAAAATTACATAATAAACTCTTAACAGACTAATTAACAAACAAACAGACAAACAAACAGACAGAGAGTCAGGCAGACAAACAAAAAACTGACCATCGAAATGCAGCTTGTCTACATTGTTGCAAAGTGCATGTATCAACCCAATGGTGCCACATGCATTTCCAATGGTCTGCTTGATGAAGTACACACCGGCATCACCACACTCGTTTCCCATCTGATCACCATCGCTCTGGCGGGCATGGGGTGGAATGGGTGTGCCCCATTCACATGGGGTGTGATAGATTCAACATTAGAATGTTTGAATAGTGAAATTGACAATTCTTTAATTACTATTGATGCTAATATTTGTTAATGGTGTTATGCGGAGTGGTGAGTGACAATTTATAGATTAGAATGGTAAAAATATAAAACTGGTAATAATGTTTTTCTATTTGTCGATGGATGATAAGTCCCTAGACTGTACAATCGGTTCATCAATTATAATTTTTAAACTTTGAAAGATGTATTTTAAAAAATATGTTTTAAATAATGTAAAAAAAAACAATTAAATAAACTAAAAAATGTACTCTCTAACATAGGTAAATAAAAATATAACATACAATACAAAGTTGAGAAAATGCAAAATGTTGAAAAAGAACAAAAACATTTTTGTATTGAAACAAAACCTTATCAGAAATGCGATATAATAACAGAGTAGCAACAACAGGTCTAGGAATGAACTGAAGAACCTCGTCATCAAAACTGTACACATCACAAAACTGCCAATCTTGGTTATTAATGCCTAACTGAGCTATGTACTAAAACGAAAAATACATTTAAAAATTAAAAATAACTTGGATCAAATCAAAACTTGATGTGAATTAAATGTGAAGATACAAAAATAATGTAAAAATAAATAGAACAGAACATAATCCCTGAAAAACAACATACTATTAGCTATAATTACATGCACCTCCTATAATCAATACCAGTTTTTGGACTTATTGTTACCTCATTGTGGGGGCGCAAAAACAAAATGGCCACCACAGGTTTGGGAATGAGCCCCAAGCCCTCTTCAGACAAATCATACACATCACAAAAGCTCCAGTCACTGGAAACTCCCAATTTTGATGCATACTAACATTATTATTCAATATTCAAATATATATATGAAACAGTTATTTATCTATTCATATAAATCACAACTATCAATTAGCAAAATTAAAAAATAATGATTGCAGTCATTTGAAAAAAAAATAACCAATGTAGAAATACTTAACTCTAGAGACATTATTATTTTATCTTTGCTCAGTTTAAAACCATCAACTTATTTGAAAAATGAAAGCCGGTAAAAACGAAATTATAAAAATTTATTAGATTATCCACCTTGTTCATGACCTGAAATAAATATTTAAAAAAATTTTTTTAAATATAATAACAATAATATGAAAAAATTATTCTGAAAATGACAATTCCAAAATTTTAATTTAATTGAATGTATCAAAATCAAAGTTTCAATGGTCAGCCAACTCACGTCTGGATTTGATTCCAGAGGAAGCCAGCGAGTACTTGTAGCCATTCTCTGAACTCTTCGTAATTAAATGCTTAAATTGAAGAAAAATTATTTGCACTAATTCACTAATTAACGAGAAAAGTATATGAGACCAGAACAAAAACCTAACCGTCGTAGCTACGAAAGAAAATATGATGATGAGCATAAAATATTTAATGAATTGAGAATGAATAATTATGGAAAACTAACATGAAACAATTTTATTTTTTTACTTTATAATTTGTTTTAACAAATGAATTTGCTAATGATAAAATGGTGAAATTTTATTTTAATTAAAATTTTTTTAACGTTTCTATTAAATTACTCTTTAAAGTTTAAATATACGCATGGCGCTAAATGAGACGACGTGTTGATTTTTGTTATATAATTTGTATATGTTTAATTTAATTTAATATTTTGTTGAATATTCAATTTAAGATTTATAAATTAATAAATAATTAAATATATTAATGATGAAATCTGTTATTGAATATGATGAAGACGAGACTGTTCGCTTCAAAGTTGTCTATTCTGGGTGAGGAAAATAATTGTGCTATCAGCTTTTCTTTTTATTTTTTATTAGATTAGTAAGTTTAATATTAATTAATATTAATTTAATATTTTTAATTTAAATTAATATGTAGTTGATAAAAATAACTTGTGAATATTTTATTTAATTGTCTCAGGAGCATCTTGGTTACACACTTTGAAATGACAATCACTTACGAAGGGTTTGTGGCAGAAATTATGGAGATGTGCAACTTCGATGACAACCAGCCATTCACAATTAAATGGGTTGATGAAGAAGGTTTATCCACCATTCTATCTTTTTTTTCTTTCAATTTAATTCATACTCTGAATGATCAATTTTGCTTATAAATAATATAATTATTATAATAATAAAAAGAAAAAATAGTTTTAATAAAATAAATTAACTATTCATTTAATTAAATAGGAGACCCTTGCACAATATCATCAGAGACTGAACTGCAAGAAGCAATCAGATTATATTTCACAAACCAGGACTCTGAAATCTTACTCTATGGTGTGGTGTGGTTTGGCTTGGTGTGGTCTGGGGTAGTTTGGTATTATACATTGTGGTTTTTTATGGTCATTTGGCTTAATTGTTTGCTGTTTGAAATTGAAATAACTTTTATATAACTCTTTGTTATTACATATATTTATTCATTTAGAAATCTGTTTTCATAGTTTTATATAAATATGGAAGTTTTTTCCTTCCTTTTTTGATGTTGTTGATTTTGGAATATTCAGTCATTTGTTTAAAAAACGTTTTTCATGGTCTAAAGTATATTCATAGTCTTTTGTATTTATTTCTTGTAGTTTTCCCAAATGTTCCAATTGTCAAAGGACAGCTCTGTCATGGAGAAGATAGTACATATCAAATTTTTAGACTTTTAAAAAATAATTTTTAGCAAATATTTTCATTTATAAATTCATAAACATATAATTTTATTTGTTGTATGTGTATTTGTAGTTATAGAGTGCACGCTATATCTAAATGGATATATATTATATATTTATATATATGCATATTATGTGTGCGTGTGTGTTTGTGTGTACGTGATGTATTGTATACAATGCATTTAATATACAAAATATTATATATTTATAAATGTATGATTGCCTAGTGGTTAGGGTCGCCTGGTGCTGTTTCGCAGTAACCGGGTTCGAATATGAAAAAAAGATCCCCGCCTATTACATGCTTAGTGTGTGATGCGTCGTTTAGCATGTATTCACATGCGATGTTTGTGGCGCGTTGTTGAATCCTCCGAACTTTGGAAGATTGCAATTGACCTTTAACCTTTAATTGACCATGAGTCGTGTTGTGTTCAACTTAGGGTCAGTATACAGATATAAGGCAAGAAAATGGAAGAAACTTTATAGGAACTGCGGTCATTTGTATGAAGTTAAAAGATTTGGTAAGGTTGGTTTTGATTTGTTAGATGGTAGGTAGGCTGGTCGTTTTTTGTTATCATTACTTTTCTAATTTTACGTTGTTATTATTATTTTTCTAATTTTACGTTGTCATTATTATTTTTCTTATTTTACATCACAGAGGGCGGTGTGTGCCTTCTGCACGGACCACGTGTGGGGCTTGGGCAGGCAGGGTTTGAGATGCGTGCAGTGCAAGATGTTTGTCCATAAGAGGTGCCACCGTCTCATCAGGGTGCCGTGCTCTGTTGTCGTGGTCTGTGGGGTGGAGTGGTGACGGGGGTGCTGACGATGAATGTGATGGTTGTAGTTGGTTTGGGATGATGACGAACAAGGTGATACTTGTTGGTGATTAAGACGAAGATGTGTGTGATGATGGTTAAGACGATGTGTGATTTGTGAAATGATTAACGATGAAAAAAATCAAACATAACCATCTTTAATCATCTTTTACTAAAAGATGAAATCATTACGCTAATATGACACGTTAGCAGAATTAACATTACCCTTCAAATCATCTTCAGAGTGATAATTCGTCATCATCATTTCACATGGATCCGTTTGATTACAGTGTACTTCTAGAGTCTGCAGGTAAGTGTCGGTTTTTTGGTTTTTAAAAATTCACAAGTGGTATTAAAGTGACTGTAAAAAGTGACCATAACATCAATGGTCTAATAAATGATGTTGATTAATTGATTTCGAAATTAACACAATTTGATTTGACAGGCATTTACTTCAGTCTACCTCAGCAAATCAAAACAAATAATAATAATATTAATCAAAATAATAATTTTAATAATAATATTAACACTTTTAATAATAATATTAACACTGATAATAATAATAATATAAATAATGATAATAATAATATAAATAATGATAATACGGATAATGTTGATGATGATAAAACCGTGACTATGATCCAAGTACGTTCTCATTTTATCATTTTTAGTTTATCAAATTTCATTCATTTTGATTTGTTTGTTTACATTTATTGCTTTATTTAATTTTTTTTACAATTTCTTTCAAAGATAAAAATTTTTAATTTTGAAAAGTTCTTTTTCCTAAATGTAAAAAAATAAAAAATTTTTGAAAAATTAAATAAAATAAACATTTTCAGATGGATCATAATAATAACTACTTAGTCCCTGACAACTTTCCTCCTCTCCCTACTCATCATCATCATCCAAAACAAAAACGTCATCAACAACAACGTCATCATCACCAGAAGCATTCTAACCATCATTCACATGTTACCACTGTTGAGAAATCAGTTTCCCTGATTGATTTCAATCTATTGAGAGTTATTGGTAGAGGGAGTTATGCCAAGGTTGATTAGTTGGTTGGTTGATTGATTGATTGGCTGGTTGGTTGGCTGGCTGGTTGGTTGGTAACTGACTGACCAACTGTCTGATTGAGTTATTTATAAGATTATTTGTTTGATCAGTTTGTTGGTTTATTTGCTGGTTTACCGTTACCTATTTTGTAATTGGGTTGATCATTTTATTAGTGAGCTGATTGATGACTGGTTACTTGTTTTGTTAGAATTGATTCATTCGACTGAAGAAATGTCGACATTAAATATGAAGTTTTTGTGCAGTAATTTGATTTCGATATTTTTTTTTTAATTTTCCGATTGGCTGGAGGTTTTTTTGGTCGAGCATAAAAAAACAAGAAGAAAATATGCCATGAAAGTTATCAAAAAGGAATTGCTTGTCGATGATGAAGTGAGATGGTGATGATGTGAGGGTGATGATGATGTGTGATGATGATGTGAGGGTGATGATCTTAATGGTTGCGATTATGTTATGATTAGTTTCGAGCACGCATACGTGCAGCCTGGAATAAATGGCATCTCCTTGCCTCTATATTGATGCGGCGTGACATCCCACTACCACTACGATCAAGACTTTATAAATCTGTGATACGTCCGGTGTTGTTATATGGTGCAGAAACATGGCCAATGACAACCAAACTGGAACAATTTCAACGAACTGACATGAAAATGCTTCGATGGATGCAACGAATTAGTCTGAAGGACCACATCAAATCTACCGAAATCCTGCGTCGTTCTGGTTTAGATGATATAAAGGACGAATGCCGGCAACACCGTCTGCGGTGGTTTGGTCATGTCAAACGAAGTGGAAACAGTGCCATAACTTCTCTTGCAGATGTTGAAGTACTTGGCACACGTCCAAAAGGCCGTCCAAAGAAGTCCTGATCGCAAACAATCGAGCAAGACATGAAAGCTCTAAATTTAAATGAAATGGATACAACTGATCGTCTAATTTGGCGCAAAAAGTTGATGGCAAGGAAACAACGTCCTACCTCGGAAACCGGGTCTCTGAACGCAAAACGAAGATTGATTGATTGATTGATTAGTTTATTATTTATTTATTTGATAGTCCACTCACTCAATCATCTTTAAATAGCTTTTTTATTCATCCATTAATTAAATGATTGATTGATTAATTTAATGAATGAATGAATGACTAAATGAGTAAGTGAATGAATGAATGAATGAATGAATGATGGATGGACACAGGATTTAGATTGGGTTCAGACAGAGAAGCACGTGTATGAAGTTGCTTCCAACTATCCCTTCCTTGTGGGACTGCATTCTTCTTTTCAATCCGTAAGCAGGTCGGGATTGAACGGAAGGGTGTTTTTTTTGGATTACGTATATTTATTAGGATTAATTGCTAATCATTCAACTAACCAATCAACTTTTCAACCATTCATTCAATCAATCAATCAATCAGTTATTCAACTAATTAAATAACCAGTCACTTTGATATTATTAATGAATCGAGGAGTTAAACTATCATTTAATCAATTAGTCGATTGATCTGTCAATCATTCAATCTGTCTGTCTGTCTGTCTATCTGTCTATCTATCTATCTATCTATCTATCTATCTATCTATCTATCTATCTATCTATCTATCTATCTATCTATCTATCTATCCTTCTATCCATCATTAGATTGTTCTTCGTAATAGAGTTCGTGGACGGTGGTGACATGATGTTACACATGCAGAGAAACAGAAGGCTTCCTGAAGATCATGTCAGGTGACTTCACCTGATTAAAAGATGGATGGATGAATTGATGGATGAATGAATGAATAGGTGAATAAATGAATGAATGAATTTACCTGATTATTCATGAAAACATTTTTACTATTGTTATTAAACTGATTACCCTGGTAGGTTCTATTCATCAGAGATTATCCTTGCGTTAAATTTCTTGCACGAAAGAGGTTGGTGCAGTCATCATGATGATGTGATGTGATGGTGATGCCGTTGCTTTGGTTGTAATGATATCAATGATGTTACTTGATTGTGATGTTTTGGTATGATGATGGCGGTACGATAAAAGTGATGTCAATGTAAGATTATTATTCATTCATATCTATTTGGCCAGTGTTTATCACAAATCTTTCTCTCTCTCTCTCTCTCTCTCTCACACACACACACACTACACAAACACACGTATACAGGCATAATATACAGAGACTTGAAGTTGGATAACGTCCTTATAGATGCCAGGGGTCACATCAAACTGACGGACTATGGCATGTGTAAGGTATGTACGTATGTAAACCTTGTAACTACTCATCAAATTCTACTACTACTGCTACTACTACTGCTACTACTACTTCTGCTACTATAACTACTGTTGCTGCTGCTACTACTGTTACTGCTATTCCACTACCACTTGTAATATTTATATTACAAGTACAAGTTATATTATAACTTATTTAAGCTATTGACCATTGTGTTATTTTAGATTATTACAACTTTTTTAGCGATTTGGTCAGATTTTGTTTTTGTTTGCTCCCTGTATTGCGTACCATGCTTGCATTTATTACTATGTATGGTTGATGTTAATGTTGCTGCTTCATTAACATAATTTATTCAAAAGGAGGGCATAGGTCCTGGTGAGTTTACCAGTACATTTTGTGGCACTCCGAACTACATTGCTCCTGAGATATTAAGAGGAGAGGATTACAGTTAGTAAGCCTAATTAACATAATTTATTCATATTCATAATTTCAACTATTTATTCATACAGCGGTCAGGCACACCAACAAACACACATACACACGTACACACGTAGATAGCAGCGTAGATTTTTGGTCCCTTGGAATTTTAATGTATGAGATGATGTCTGGCAGGTCTCCATTTGAAATCGTCGCTCAAACTGATAATCCCGATCAGAACACTGAAGATTATTTGTTCCAAGGTAGACTGACTGATCGATTGAATCATTAAAATATAAATGAATGATTAAAAAAATAACTGTCTGATTTCTTTATTGATTGATTAGTTGGTTGGTTGATTGATTGATTGATTGGGTGATAAGTTGGTTGATTGACTAATTAGTTGATTAATGGAACAGTTGCATGGCCGATGGTTGATGAAAAGTAAATTATCGAACCTCTTGTTGAGACTTTGGCTTCCTCTTCTCTATGTAATATTCAATAATTTTTACAAATATTTATTTTGAATCTCGTCCACCTGAATTTAATTATTTTACATTCGGTCGGCCTAATTAACATAACTTATTCATCTAATATAAATAATTTATTCATACGCCGGCCGGTCAAACACAAAGACACACACAAACACACATTACTCATTTCACCTTCAGTGATTCTTGAGAAACCCATTAGAGTACCAAGATTATTATCTGCACAGGCCTCTAGCGTGTTGAAGGGACTACTCAATAAGGTGGTAGATTTCAAACTTTTCTCTGGTGTTCACTTTTCAATCCTACTACATTCATTCATTGTATTTTTACTTATTTAAGTATAAATTACTGCTAGTAATGTGAATGTTTAATGTCTTTTGTTAATCTTTAATTTGGAAAGTGTGATTAATTCAATTTCAGCTGCTAGCAAGCACCAACTGCACATATATTGCTATCACTGTTTATATTTTCTTTCTTCCTTTTATTCATTCAGAATCCCAGAGAACGTTTGGGATCTCCACCCAACTCAGGAATCAAGGATCTCAAAAGTCATCCGTTTTACAAGGGACTCTGCTGGTCCCAGCTGTCCATGTGCCAGATAAACCCTCCTTACAAGCCGATTGGTGAAAATGGCGACGATATGGATGTGTCTCTGATGTATTTTGATCCGCAGTTCACTGGAGAACCAGTCATGTTTACACCTGATGATCAGTAAGTTGTCTGCTCGTATCCGGAGTTTGTATTCCTACATTTCCCTATGCGTTCTTTTTGCAGTCAAATCTTTATCTTTTAACAAATCTCTTCACGACATGCATTCTCAAAGAACATCTGTATAAAATGTGTTATTGATAATAGCTAACAAACTCATCATTTATTTGTATAATATATCATTTTCACACAATTATTCATACATAAACATTAAGAAAAGAAATTAACTTCATTAAAGAAAGGTGTTGGACACCATCAACCAGAACGACTTTGAAGGCTTTGAATACGTCAATCCATTATTAATGTCCAGTGAAGATTTCGTCTGATGAATGGACTGCTGATTGATTGCTGATTCAACATTTAACATCTACACCACCACTGAACTGTTTCCGTTGATTTCAGTTGCGTAAAACAAGTTCTGTTAGTCGTAATGAGATTTTAAATTCTTCAAACGAAAACTTAATAACTTTCTGTTAAGCCGTATATATTCTTTTGTTAAATCATGAAAAGAAATAAATTATAAATGCTTTAAATTAAATACAAATTCATCAAATGATTCAATAAAAAAATGAAGTATAAACATTATTTCATATATTTCATATATATATATATATATATATATATATATATATATATATATATAATTCTTAAAAAGCCTTTACGTATAAAATAGATAAATGCATATAGATATACAATCATAATATCTACCAAACAAATGAATGTATCTATATGTATAGTCACATGTACAATGGCTAACAATACAACATAATATTTCAGCTCTTAAAGAACGTATACAAATTTACACAAAAAACAACGAAGGCACATTTAATAGGTTCTGTGTAAAAAAAAGAAAATGAAAAATATATTGGCAGTAATATCCTTAATGCTATCACATAAGATTCATTATCTATAAAAAGGCCTTGTTGAAAAGAATGTATAAACATACATAATGGGTTTAAACGACAAATATACTATATGGTTAGACCAGAATTAAGACTTAATTTAAATTTTCGCGGACATAGACAAAAGTTTACACATTTCATCTTGCAAACGCACCATGGGTTTGCATACAACTATTGAAACAATAATAGATGTGAGACAGCATTTACAAGCAATAAGAAAAGAGTTTTTCTAGATTAATTAGTTAAACCGTTATTATAAGCAAGATAAAAATGTTAAAATTTGTAGGCAGGTGATGATTGAAATTGAAGATGTGATTACAATTGTTTCGCGAAATAATGAGATGAAAAATTTGGAGCGTGTAATTAACAGGAATGAAATAGCGTTAGAATTTTCTATATAAATTAAACACTGTTAAAAAACAGACAAAAGTATCATACGAAAGTATCATAAAAAAGTATCATATGAAAATATTATACAAAAGTATCATACAATAATATCAAATATATCAAAATCGACAGTAATAAAATAAAGCTGCAAATCTGGAAAAAAAAGTAGATTTCAAAAAATATTAGAGCTCGGTCGAAATATTTTCATATAAATGTTTCCGAGTAAGATGCGAATGATGAGGAGGAAGAAGCTGATGGGATTGTTAGGTGGTGGTTCTCTATCTTGAGACCCTGCGGTCGAGCGCCGTCGTCGGTCTGTATGCCAGTATCCACGATCTTCATTTTATAAGTTTAAAAGGAATTTGTTAATTTACGTTGTTATCTTTTGAACGTTTGCAATTTGACAAAATAAAATGAGAAGAAATTGTTTTGGAGCAAGTCGCAAGCAAAAATTTAAGCTAAGGTAAGTTAAAGTTATTGATATTGCCATATCAAATGAAAGTAAATAAGAAAGAATTAGCAGTCTTTTCAATGTAACAACCTTGGGTCCATTGATACCTGCAAGGCACTTCGAAATGGAACTCATCCACGATCTCATCTCTGGATCCGAGTGTGGCTGTTAAATTTAAAGTTCTCAAATGGTTCAACTCGAATAAAATAACTCATAAATTTTAATTTTTATTGGAAGTGGAAGCATGTTTTTAACTAAAGAATTAAATTCGATTTTTAGACTACGTGAATAATTGTAAAAAAGAGAGCTGAAGAATTTGTGTTAAATTAAGTAAAATAATTGACACCTTTTTGAAGATTTAATTTATCTGAAAAATGACGCAACTTTAATGAATGCACAAACAATCAGCCAACCAACCAACCAACCAGCCAACCAGCCAGCCAATCAACCAACCAACCTGAATATAAAATACTCTGTAAGACGTCACTACTTCAAAAACATGGCATCGAGTCAGATGTATCCTGTTTAATAAAAATTAAGTTTATGGCATACTGCTTACTTATTCAGTTTTATTTAAATTTTTCAACAAGAACACGAAATTTATCATTATTATTATCATTATAACGCCATGTTAAAGACCACAGCTTGAAAGACTGAAATTAAAAATGACTAACTAACCCAACAGAGAGCCTGACATCGACGACATCTTTCAAATATATCGTCCTCAGTGGCTCATCGTCCTACCATCAAAATTAAGTATCAGCTTATTAAACTTTTTTAAAGTTCGTAATTTTTAATTTTTCACAAGTCGCAATTAATGAGGTATGCAAAAAGAAAATTAATTAGAAAATTAGATTAAATGCAATTAGAAAATATCTTCTACAGAAGTTATATTTAATGAAAGCATACAAACATGAGAACGAACGAGACAAACAACAAAACAATAACCTCCTGGGTTCTATAATATTGCAGGCTGGTTTTCGATAACTTGAAAAATCTTTTCTTCCAATTCTTCCTCTTGAAAACAACAAGAAATCACAAAAATGAGTTTGCAAATATAGACATAACTTACATAATACAATTTAAATTTACTTAAAGATAATATATACAACTTCGTCTCTATCACCTTCCAAATATATATATATATATATATATATATATATATATATACATATATATAATTGATCTAACATTTCTTTTTCTTATTTCTTTTTATATTTTTATTTAAAAATTTATTTATTTTTCTTTTTATATTTTTATTTAAAAATTTATTTATTAACAAGTTTATTTAGT